AATGGGGTGGGTGGCGGTGGTAATCAAATACTGTTTGCTGAGATTCACATTGCCTAATGGTCCAGAGACCCTTGAGACCTGGCTCAGGCCCCAGAAATGAAGGTGCAAGTCCATTCAGGTTCTGCCCAGAAGGAGGCCCCTCCGTCCCACGGGTCAGGGACGATGAGTGGTATCCAGTCAGACCAGCAAAGCCACCAACAGAGGGCGCTCACAGAGACCTAAAACTACCAAGCAGAGCGTAACATTCCCACACCTGCCATCCTAAAGAAAGAGCAGGCCATTCTGAACATGTGTGCGGAAATTAGAAATGGTAAGCAGTAAACTAGAAGATTCGGGGAAAAGACAGAACTCCTGAAAATGACAAACCACAAGAAGGGAATTAGAAGTCACTGAGCATGCATGCTTATCACAGCTAGAGAAAGCCTGAGGGCAAAAATGAGCCGGAGCTGGGTTAAAACAGGAATCTGGAGCAGTGCCTCAAACAAACCCCAAACTCACCACCTTCGAACCAATTCCAACTCATTGCCACCCTACGGGACACCGGGGATCAGCCCTGTGGGTTTCCAAGACTTTTTAAATCTTTAAGGTGCAGGCAGATTCCATTTTCTCCCCTGGAGCAGCTGTTGGGATCAAACTACTGACCTTGTGGTTGGCAGCTCAATGAGCAGCCCACTAAGCCACCAGGGCTGCTCCGTGGAGCATCCAAACCACAACAAAAAACGAGCCTGTGTCACAAGTCGCTTCCACGCAGGACTCCAAGGGTGGTCGCCTCCCTGCAGGGCCACAGGGACACACTGGAGTGAACAAAGGCAGACCCAGCCAGAAGCCCGAGCTGGCCTCTATAAGTGCTGTCCTTGCTCAGGGGCCAGCTGCGGAAGGGTGCCTCGAGACTCCGCTGTGACTAGACCTCGCTGGCAGCGAGCCGTGGGGAGCGATGCCCCACTTCTCGCTGCGTGTCTGGTTACACACACAACCGCCCTGGTGCAAAGCCATCTAACACACCATGATGTCCTTGTGTGCCCACAAAGATAAGCCGGAGGCCTGGCCTTCAAGCCTGTGAACAGGACTTTGTCTGTAAACGGGGTCCCCAAGGGTGAACGTGAAGCCACCCGAGGAGGGGAGGAGACCAGACCTGTGTGGAGTCCAATGACAGGGCCAGCCACAAGGCCTGGAGCCACCAGGAATGGGCAAAGGCAAGAGCGTGCCTTCCCCCCGCAAGCATCAGCCCAACTGTCACCCCAAGTCCCAAGGTTTAGCCTCCAGCAAGAGCATTCCTGCTTGAAACCCCACTTCATGGTACTTTGTGACCGCAGCCCAGGAAACTGCCTGTTTGTATCGACCCAAGGGGTACTTTCTGCCCAAAAGACACATACCCCCCAGAGTCCCCAAATGACCACATGTTCACACCACACTTCACATCGTTGGTTCTTGGTAGTACATCTTATCCCACAATCGCCGCTGCTGCTGTCACATCTGTACACTTCTGTGTACTAGTCCGTTGACAACCCTCAGAGACAAACGGAGATGGATGATACAAGGCAATGCAAATGAGAACGGAAAGGTCACCCGGAACCATCATCAGAACAACACACACGTGCGTGTGCACCTAAGGGGCGGGGGGAGCTGATGCGTGCATGGGCACCGGTTTCTGTTTAAGGTGATGGAAATGGGGGACTGATGAGGGCAGGAAGCAGAATCCAGGACTGTACTCACTGTCAATAAGCTTCACGCCTATAAAAAGCTGCACCGGCAAAAAGGAAACCAACCACAGACTCCACAGCCACTGCACAGGCTGCGTAGTTATGTACCCCCAGCACCTCGTGGGATCTGGTTCCTTGGCTTGGACGTCTGGGTCACGGTTTCCTCAGCTCTCCAAGGTAACTGATTTAACAATAAATATGTTCACTGCATAGTACTTGGGGTCTTAAAAGCTTGCCAGCAGTCTTGAAGTTAAACAAGGGACCATCTAGTAGTGAAGCAACAAAGCCCACATAGAAGAAGCACACCAGCCTGTGTGA